CTCGTCTGACCGGAATTTGTAGACCTTCCTCTCCAGTTCAAGAAGCTAAGCAAAGCGAGCATCAGAGAAGTTACCGGTTATGGCGCCGCAAATGATGGAAATAACAAGCACAAATGCCAGAGCAGCGAGCTGGTATCCGGCCTGGAGAAACACCTCACGACCTTCATCGTTTTTGTTCATCGCAGGATAGATGTGAGTCGCATTGCTAAAGCTCGAAAAACATTACGAAATTATCAATATGGCAATGCTGTCCTGAGCGTTCGTTTAAAAAATTATTAGTGGCGCGCATAAATGTTGCCAGTGCGATTATGCATTTTCGCGCAGATTTGACGCAAACAGATCGTTAACAGCATGAATGGTTGCTGCTTTACAGTTTAACACGTGTAAATATGCTGGCAGTGTTTTTGGTCATTTGCTGCATGGATGAGAGAGGGCGTCGGCTAACGGCTGTGACGATAGCGGTTCACTGTGTGTACACACAGAGGCAATCTCCTGCCAATATGTGTTTTTGCATATGCATAAATATGCAAAAGCGCATAAAAATGAGTCGCATTTACTAAAAATAAAAATTACCCAGTTCCATAATGCGTTGGTTCGTATGCCGCAGTGAAAATGAAGCCAAGTATGCCAGCCAAGATACCTAAAAATAATTAGCGGAACCGTCAAATTTCAAACAACTATTATATTCAGAATTGTGATAATCTAACGAAGCACCTGCTTTTTGTTCCAATTAATCACAGTTTTTGATAACTTAATGCTTTTAAGAAGGGGAATTTGAAATCAGTGAAACCAATTTTCAGAAAAGTACCAGGAAGTCCGTGAATTCCGCCCACTCCGCGTGTATCATGAATACCAAGCACTCGAGCAGAGATCGGCTAAAATCATATCAAGGAATAAAAATTCATAATCATATGTTAATTTATTGGTGAATGCTATCGCATCAACAACTCCGGCAAGCCAAATAATTTCCGTTATAGCTAAGCGATGCATTTTAAGCAACTAATAATAGTTTAAAAAAGTAAGTGCCATTAGTAATTGTGTTTATGAAAAGATGAATATGCGCAAAAAGTTGTGCAAGCATACTTCTTGTGCATATTTATCTCTTAGCTTAAATATAACTTGCCATTCGTAAGCAAATTTCATTGCCAATTTCAACGAAGAGTTATAAGTGTACAGCAAAATACGGAAAAGTGCCACATTTTTTCCGAATGGCTGATATGACAAACGAGCGTTTGGTGTCTGATTCGGAAGCCCCTTTAAAATGGAAAGCTCTTTTCCTTGCAGTTTAACTAACCCTCCATTTGTTCAGAAAGTATCCTTGGCCATTTCTATAGTTGAATTCTCGAAAAATAAACCGAAAAAATGAGCCACCTTGATGTAGTTGTTTCCAATAACCGAGACAATAGCTGCCAGGCATCCGATCAGAAGTGCATAAATTGGTTCCAGAACAATGTTCGCGACTGTTCCGATTGCAACACCACCGGCCAAAACTGAGTTCGACACATGAGCCATCGAGAAGCGGTACTGCAAATGCAAGACAGTTTCTTTAGAGATCGGTCTATACGCTTCCAACTGTCGTGTAATGGGGAGCTTACTTCATTAGCAACACAAGCATATCATGGCAATCGCTTTCTTTCTGCACGCACATCGTTTTAAAACAACCGTACTGAGAATGACTAATAAAAATCGTCTATTGTAGTTAAGCGTGCGTGAACGAGTGAAACCGGTGTTACTTCCACTCCTCAGTTTGGGCCCCGCTCTCCTGTTTTCAGGAATCACAGTGCTAATAAGAAAAATTTCACGCTGTTCGAAAGCGATGGCGAAATACCCTGAATGCTGTCAGCTAACTCTCAGCGCTTAAGAAATAATAAGTATGTGAATGAAAAGGCGAACCTTATGATCGTGATCCAAGAGTTGACTAATCAGAAAGGTGCATATGGTGGAGGAGCACAATGCCAGATAGGTGTTCAGGATAGCACGATGTCGCGAATCTTCTGGAATTGCTAAGGCCGAATTGAACGATGGGAAGAAGGCCCAGAGGAAGAGCGTGCCTGAAATACAACTTGCATCCGTTCTCGATAAATCACCCCAGCATAAAACACATTCCAAAATAACTGTGGGCACATACTTCTTCAATTACAATCAATTAAAGGATAAAGAGAAAATGATGAAGTATCTTCGAAATCTGATGAAGAAAATCATGAAGATCAATCTTCAAAAATTTTGATGTCTGCGCGTTCACTTTTAAAAGGAAAAGAACCAAACCGATCATGGCAAAGATATCGGAATTGTAGCTGGCGCCTTCATGCTGATGCCCGACCATTTCCTTTTTGTTGAACACTTTTGCTACGGCTAAACCAAAGTATGCACCGAAACAGTGGACCACCATCGAACGGCCAATATCATTAACCTAGACAATGCACATAATTCTGTTCAATATGCCTGACGTCTACAAATAAACTGCTAGCTTATCATTCGCTAATGTTTACACCGAGACTTAAGAGAACACAACAAAGAGAACCAGTGCGATGGAAGAATTCGCTTGAACGACTACGTGAAGTTTTATGGACAGGACAGGCCAAAATTAAGAAAAATGGAAA